CCATTTGGGAGCGCGAGCGTAAGGTCCTCCTAATCAGTAATTAGCTGACGAGTGCACAAATACCTAACAGCCGTACCTAAATTAGCGCGTTGAGCGTTTCGCTTGTATCTTTATCTCTCTCTGACGCATTAAATTTTTATACGCTAGAAGAAGAGAGGCCGACAGGCCCAACGCTTGACGCGCTTATTTAGGTATGGCTCTATAAGTGTAGCGCACTTATACTATACAATATTTTATTTTGAATATTTATTGACGCGCTGCGCTGTCACCTCACCAATCCACTAACAACCAGCAGCAGCACCGACAGAGGCAAAGCCCTAAGCAACGACAAAATGTTCGCCATAATGAGAATCGACAACGATGACTGTCGGTCGGATTTCCGTCGCAAGATGCGTCCAAAGTGTGAGTTTATTTGCAAATATTGCCAGCGGCGTTTTACAAAGCCCTACAATCTGATGATACACGAACGCACCCACAAATCGCCCGAGATAACGTATTCCTGCGAGGTTTGCGGTAAATATTTCAAGCAACGCGACAACCTGCGTCAACACAGGTGAGTGGACAAAAAAAATAAATAAAAATTTAAAATCCAAAAATTTCAAGATGTACCTATAATTAAAAAAAATCAAAATTTTAAAAAAGTAACCAAAAGTTTTTATAAAAATAAGTACCTTTGTAAAAATATTTCTTCAGCGTAAGAAAGACAATAAGCAAACGTTTCGGACTTAAAAAGACACTAGAAATGTAATAAAGGAGAGACAGAACTATGATTGTGTTATGTGAAAAAACTCAGCTTAAAGGGCTGTCTGCAGCTCTCAAGAAAAACAAAAATTTATATCAAATGAAAATAAATTGGCTCTCAAGAACAAATGCTTGTTATTTCTTTAGAAAAATTGCAGCAACCGCTGCGTATTTTTTCAAGCAACAGATATAATAAAAAATATTTCTTGTGATTTTTCTTAAGAACTGCAGACAGCGCTTTAAACGCAATTACCGTTTTTTAAGTTTTAAAATGTCAAATAAGGCAAGCTAATTGGAAATATCGGCGGTACTTTGGCAAATCTCGTATCCCAGGCACAAAATCAGCTCTCTATTAAATTAAAAAAATATATATGTATATATTTTTGATAAATTTTTGAACTTAATATTAAAGATTAAGTACTTTTTAGTTAATTAAGAATAAAATATAATGAAACATAGTATGTACATATTTTAAGGCCAATTGTGAATTAATTTCCATAGTGATTTCCGAAATGTGGTTTTGCCAAAGTGCCTTCGATATGCTCCAGTTCTCAACTCCACTTTTGAGGTCGTTTGAAAGACAAAGCAATAATTTTTCACAGCTTCTAAATATAAATTCACAAGTGCAAACACAAATATGTGGACTTTTGCTTGACGTCATATAAATACATACATATGTACTTATGTAAGTATGTAGAAAAGTGCGAAATTTATACAGAAAAATGTCGTGTGAAAATTTACTTGCTGAAAAGTAAATAGATAGCAATCAAGCAAGTGCCAAGTCGCGTTCAACAAGTTTCTTTTTAGAATTTACTGTGATTTTTATTTGACAACCTAAATAGTGATTTTGAGCTGTGATTTTATGAAATTCTCCTAAGTTTGTGCCTACATAAAATCTGCGCAAATAATAATTTTCTATTGAAATCTATGTACTTAGCAAAAGATTTTGAAGCGACTACTTTATATTATTTGTATGCTTTACATACATACATAAGCATTCACCATTGTATAAACATAGGCACATGTATGTATTTGAATGCTCAAATAGATAAAAGTAAAAGCCTTTTCTTCCGCGTAGTCCTATACTTTTCACCGAAAAAATTCAGTCTTTATTTGTTTCTGCCTTGCTATTTTAAGTCGGCCGTTGCTTCTTAGAAAATGATGACAAGTTTTAAATAAGTAGATAGGCAAGGAGACATTTGTACATATTTTGGACTAAAGTGGAACACCTGGAAATTTTACTAGTTACAAATATTTGTATTACCTCAATGTACGTCCGCAAAAAATGCCCAGCCAAGGTGCTGTAACCAGCTTCTGGACTCTTAAGAAGTGTCAACTTGGTGTTGAGAGTGTTGTTTTTGGATGGTCTTCTGTTCACATGACAGCTTGCTGAGGCCAGTGGCAATAAAACTTCGAAAACTTTGTACTTAAGAGCGCGGAACTTCAATCCAAGCTGATATACTGAACAACAGACAGCTTAGGAAACAGTTTTTTCCAAGGAATGAAACCGCTTCAAAATAACGTTCCGGTTTGGGTCTCGGTTTTGCCAAGTGTTTCGGTTTCGGTTTTGGTTTCGTTCTTCAAAATTTATTTCGGTTTTGGTTTCGGTTTCGTTCCGGTTTCGGTTTTTCACAGAAATTTTGTTGATATTATTTAAATCACAATGTCTTAAACGTTGAGGAAAGAAAATCGAAAATTACAGTTCACTGATAATAACAACACTAGGTTCTCTCCCTAACAATCCGGACCGGATTGGGTAATAATAGAATAAGAGAAACATTTTATTTCAAAAATGGAACAAAGTTCAGAAGTACGGAAACGCAAAAACCCACATTTCGTGCCCACAAGTCGAGAAACAGCTGATTCACGTTGTTCTTGTTTTTTTCACTTATACCATGTTCTGACCGACATCGGAAACATGTTTTCGTTGCTAAAACTGGTTTTCGACCTAAAATTTGTGTTTTCGTCCATATAAAATCTGTTAAACGAAAACCAGTTTTCGCTGAAAACTACTTGAAAACTCACTTTCCACTCATTCCAATCGGTGTCTTCACTAGTTTTTTTCGATTATTTATCGAAGTGGAAGTCATATTTTATCATCTTTAATACGCCATTTTGGATTTATTGTTAATTGCCTGGCCAAAGCAAAATAAGAATGAAAGTTAAAGGTTGTAAATGAAAAGAAAATGAAGGAAAAATGTTTTGGTTGTCGGTCAGAACATGGAATTAAATGCAAACACTTGGAAAGGGATTTTTGGTTTCACAAATTTGATTTTAAGTACATAGATTCAAAATACATCAACAGGCCATTCACTTTTCCTTAAAAGCACCAAGTAAATGCAGGCAACATGTAAACACAATACAGCTGATATGCACTTTGACACTTTATCCATTTTTACTCGGAGAAAATTTCGGGCTGTTTCGGGCAGGAAGAAGAATACACTTACGATCGAATACGCTCGAATTTTCGCTCTCTATTACCCATTTTGTTGAGTACAGGCATGATTTCTGGGCTATTTTGGGCACACGCGGGATCTCGCATTGCGTACGGGAAAGAAACTACTTAAATATAATTTATCGATTATCGATTCACAACAACAAAGTCATCAGCAGATTTTTGCGAAAAATTATTTTGCCATACTTATTTACTACTT